TTGGACTACAAAACGTTGTTAACTTTCCGACCAGACTCGAGGCTTGTCTTGATTTGTGTTTCATTAACGACCAGAATTTATTTAACTTGCACTGTCGTTCCCCTATTGGCAACACTGAAATTATCTCCCACGATCTACAGGAGATCCAATCATCAGTTTACACTCGGTATCGTGATCGTCGTCTTCGTTGGCGTCAATGCCAACCCGAAAATCTTGCTAGATTAAAAGATATATTAGATCAGACAGATTTCTCTTTATTTGTACACAATGATCCCTCTATATTTTGTGATACCCTGACTGAATACTTGAAGTTCTGTTATGACACGTGCTGCCCGTGGGAAACTTTATACATACGGTCAGANCGGTCAGACCGTTTTTCGTCCCCCACACTTAAACGATTTCGTCGTAGGAAAGAACAAGCTTTCAAGGCGAAAAAGTATTCTTTGGTGAGAGACCACTCGAAAGCAATCAAGGCTGAACTGCGGAGAGTAAACGCCGCTTATGTGCATGCACTGCTGGCAAACAGAAATTGCCGGGATACATTGAAAATGATGTTTGAGTTCTGCGGTCTCAAAACGAAGGGGAATCATCCAGCTGCCAATGTGGGTGATATCAATCGCCAATTCAGCAATGTTGAAACCGACACCCCTATTCCATTTACAGCAGTTGCCCCAGCTCCTAATGTTGTTAATTTAAGTACCGATCAAACTGAAGTATTAAATACCTTCATCAACCTGAGGTCCAATAAAGCATGCGGTCCTGATTGACTGCCACCTTTTGTGCTCGAAGAATGTGCGGTTTCCTTTTCCCCTGTTTTCACCAACCTACTCAACCTGTGTTTTACTAAACATTCCATTCCGGACTGCTGGAGAGTGGCTTCTATCACACCAGTACCCAAAAATGGACCGTCCAAATTTCGCCTGATTGCTTGCACTTCTGTGGGTTTGAAACTCATGGAAAAGATTTGACTACAAAAGATGCTGCCCCAGCTGAATGCACCTGATCCCAATCAATTTGCCTACTGCAGTTCCAGTTCAACCATTGATGAGTTTGCATCCCTCATTCATTATATCTCTTCCTCCTTGGACAGAAAATGTAAAGCTGTTCGGGTACGTTTCTTTGATTATAGTGATGCCTTTAATTGTGTTGATAGGTCCAAACTTCTTCACACTCTTTCTGAGAAAGGCATTCAACCGGAGCTTACCAATCTTTTAAGGAATTATTTCACCCATCGATCACAGTTTACCAAATATGAGGGTCGTAACCGTTCACTTTTACCCTCCACTCAAGAAGTTCTTCAAGGCGCTATTCTCTCTCCCTTCCTGTTGACAATCTATATTTCTACAATGCCTGCTCATTAAGTATGCCGATGATGTTGTACATGACATGATGTTTTCGAATTCCTCCGTGTACCCCACACTTACGCAGAATATTTCACTGCTCACCGAATGGTCTTCACAACACAATCTTAGAATGAATCCTTCCAAGTATGATGATGTTTTACTTTCTTTACTGAAGGGTGATCAATATATTGACGTGATGAACTCTTGTCAGCATGTCATTAAAATGGTGAAGCAGTTTCCAGAGCATGTTCCGTCAAATATCTTGGGGTCACCGTTTCCCACAATCTTTCTTGGTCTCATCATGTCGTCCAGACAT